CGAGCCGGGCGGGAGCCGCGGCGCGTGCGCGCGCTCACCTGCAGCCTGCGCGGAAGCCTCCGCGGCTCGCGCCCCGCCCACACCCAATAGGAAGCGCGCACCTGCGCCCACGGCGCCAACCAATCGATACACGCCTCGCTCCGCGTGTGGGCGGGCCGCCTTCGCGAAAATCCCGCCCACAGCCGCGCGATTGGTCCCGCGCTGCGAGGGAGGGGCGGGATCACCTGAAGCCGTGGGCCTCCTTCCTGACCTAGCAGCAGAGCGCATGCGCGGGCTGTGGAGTTTCCGCCCGGGGATGGCCGGCCGGAAGCGCGAGCGCACCTGGAGGCGAGCGGGGCGGGTGGGCCTTGTGCGCACGCGCGGGCGCGCGCCTGGTTGCCCGGGTCCCGGCGGGAGCTCGCGCCCGGCTGGGGGATGGAACGCGGGGCCTGGCAGGTTGCGGGGACGTGGCGGGGCTGTTGGGTTCCGGCCTCCCCGGCTCCCCTTTCCACTTAGGGCTGTTGCAGCCTGCAACAACGTTCCTCCACCACCCCTTTGCGTCGTTTAGGCGTCTGGTTGCAACTGTGGTTGCAAAATTCCAGTTTTCTCGCTCCTGCAGCAGTTACTGGGGAGAACCTCAGGGCTCTCCTGGCGTGGTTTTGTCCGTAGACACTCTTCCGTCTCGTCCCTGAGGTCCCAAGGGGTCGAGCGGGCGCTGGAAGGGAGGGAAAGTGAGCTGAGGCCCGGGATGGCTCCTCGCTCCTCGCAAGTCCGCCTTCCCTGAGGACGTCTCCTAGACCAGCCCTCCAGGGTTTTCTGTTTTTCTTTTCTTCTTTTTTATTTATTTTTATCTTCTGAAGTCTTCTCCCCTTCCTCTAGCCCTTTCTTGGCTATTTGCTGTTTCTCACCAATAACAGCCTTTGGATTGTCTTCGTTTCCCTGATAACAAAAGACTAAATCTTTCTCTCTAAATGCCCCAGTGCCTCCTCACAGGGACCCTGTTTAGCACTGGCCGTGCTGGGGCGGTGAGGAGGAGACCCGCACGTCCCCCCACCCTGCAGAAGGGCTCACCGGTGGGACCGCTCATCAGAGCTGTTGAGCCCTCCTGTAGCCGGGCCTGGGCGTGTGGGCGGGGTTTCTAATCCCAGACGGCCAAGAAGAGCTGGTTAGGGTGCTGCCTTCCACCTGAGTCCTCAGGGCCTTGCTCCCCTCATCTCCTGCCCACTTCACGTCCCTCCTGACACCTCGCGCCCCTCCTTCCCAGCACTTGTGACAAGTCCCAGTTTTCCCATGTTTTCCAGGAGTCATCCACCTCTGCCCTAGGATGGAAGCTCTGAGAAGGCGGGGGCCACATCTGCTTTGCTCACCGTGAACATGTAGCCTGGTACCTGACTCCCAGCAGGTACTCAGATATGCCTTTGCTGGGTGCTGGAGCTGAGGGAGTGTGGTTTCTCTGTGCTAACTTTGCCCCACCTGAGTTCAAAGGTGAGAAACCCATCTTTCCCCCTGAGTGGTTCAGTTCACCAAATGTTTGTGGGAGAATTTATGGTGTTTCTGGCTGTTTTGGGTGGAAGTACGGATGGAAGGGATAACACCCCAAGCTAAATAATAAGGCTGCCTCCTCCACCCCCTGTTCAAAGCACCTGCTCGGTGACTCAAGCTGAGCTGGAAATGAAGTGTGGTCCTGTGATGGGGGAGCGTGACAGTTTGGTCTCAAGACCCCTTGATACTCTTAAAAATTATGGAGGGCCCCCAAGTATTTTGTTTATGTGTGTTATGTCTTTCAGTATGCATTGTATTAGAATTAAGACTGAAAAATTTGTAAAACACAAGAATATACAAGCACACATTCCTGTAGTCATCAGGGTGATGATATCATCACATATCATGTCCCTTCTGGAAAACTCCATCATATACCTGTGAGACAATGAGGGTCAGGAGAGCAAGTGACATCTTAGTATTGTGAAAATAGTTTTGGCTCTGAGAATCCCCTGAAAAGGCCTCAGGGACCCCACTTTGAGAACCGCTCCCTAGAACCATGTCACCACTTTTAGGGATCTGTATTCTCCACTGCCACCCTCCTCTCTCCAGTTGCTGGGGCCACACCCTGGGAGCGAGGGCCCCAGTTCTATGTGAGCGATTGTTGGGTTGAGCTTTATTACTGTTATCCGTACTGATTTATCAGGCCCTTTTCAAAAGGAAGTTCGTGGGTGCCAGCGCACCTGTGTGGGCCCTGCATTCCTGGAGGTATTGTCACGTCCTCTCTCCCCTCCCCCGGGTGTGGCATCCCTCTTTACTTGGACTTTCCTTTCTAGAAGGGAGGGCCAGACCAGAGCTTCCTGGATCTCCTGAGCGGAATTTGCTCTTCGGCCTGCGTCACAAGTGTGCCTGGGTTGTGTAAGGCAGGAATGTGGAAAATAGCTTGAATTTGATAAAGGTGTTGTGGAGGAGGGGAACCCTTTCATCCCAAGAGCTGTTATGGCCACAAGTTTGCTCGCGGGGCCTGAATTTCAGCCTTTCTTGAGAAGCATGAAGCCTGGAGAAATGCCATAGAGGAGTTTATATTCCTGTTTCTTTGGTTTGAAGACTGAACCCTAATCTCATTTCTCTCCATCATCCCTCCCTACCCCCAAATCCTCAAGCTAAAGCTGATCAAGACCTACGTGTGGAATGAAAAGCTAGTCCTGTGCCTGGGAGAATTCATACTCAGTGAGTTAGGGAGATGAGTAAGGTGAGTGTATGACATGGACTCTATAAATTATAGGTTCACAAACTCATTAGTTGGGAATGGGCTGCCACTGATTATTACACCCACACACTGTCAGATCTCTCTGGCCCATCTCTACCCTCTGAAAGAAGCTAGTCTGGGTGACATTTCTGCTTTATCTTCCCGTTCAATACTTTCTGTCTTTACATTCTTCTACAACGTAACACAACTGTTGTGTTTGTTCGGTATCTACCTTGCGAAGTGGAAAGAGTTTGTAATTTTCCACAGTTATTTTTTATTGATTCTTGTCTTACACAATGATACTTTTTCCTTCCTCCTCCAATTCTTAGGGGAAAAAAAAAGAAAGAGGTGGCAAGAAACCATGTATAATAGTGGTGAGATTTTTTTCAAGAAGTTTCTCTTACCAGCTCTTTTTCTCCTTGACTGCTCAAGTTCCCTTTTTGATGGAGCTGGTTAATAATTCTCTGAGAAAGAGCTGAAGTGTATATTTATGAATCTCAGACTACTCACCAAAGCATTTTAAGCCCTTTTGCAGAGGTGGAATTAAGTCACATGATCTATTTTCTGGTTAATAGCTTATAACATGTTAGTACTTTGTGTGGGGGTGGGGTGGGAGTGCTAAAGAATTATCTCCTGGAGCCTTTAAGAAGCTAGATGCCCTTTCAGGTAAAAACTCATCTTCGTGGGAGGCAGTATGTGCCAGGCATTGTGCGTGAGCCCTGCCCTTGAGGGGTTTGACCTTTCCCCTCTCTGGGATTCAACGTCTCCATCTGTAAATGCAGGCACCGGATGAGATCATCTCCACAGTCCCTTCCAGCTCTTCACATGCTATGGTACCCCAGGGATAATGGAGATTGATCATCATTTCAACATTACCAGGGATGAACTGGAATGAGTAGGGTAATCTTTCCATCAGAGTCAACAGACATGCTGCACTCATCAGCTGAAATATGCCAGTTCCTAGGAGGTGTTGATGAAAACGATGATAACTAACATTTATGAGGGTCCGACCTGGTGCCAGGAACTGTGCTCTGTGCTTTCCCATGGATTATTTTATTTACTTTTAAGTAACATGAAAGAGGTTTAAATTTGAAGGCACTCAGATCTTGGTATTTTTTTAGGTGATAGATATTAATTTGAGCCCTGGCTCTGCTCCTTGCTGGCTACGTGACCTTGACCCTGTTCCTTTAACCACTCAGAGCCTCAGATTCCTCCTCTATAAAATCAGATGGTACTGACCACCTCATGGCGTTGTTGCAGGGATCAGATGAGAAACTATACGTGACACTTCTCTGCAATCCATCAAGCGTGGTGCGAATGTTAGTGGTTATTATTTAGCAAATAATATTGCCTACCAAAGCCTTTGGTAGAATTTCAAGAAATTCCTTGAAAGAAAACAGAAATGTGTGATAAACCATTCTTCTTGTTTTAGCACAGGGTGACCTTTTAATGGATACCTCATAGTTACAGGGGCTGAGATGCAGCCTACAGTAGTCATTATGTGGCTCCCAGCTGCCTACATTCAAATCCCGCCTCTGCCATTTTGTAGCTGTGTGACCTTGGGCAAGTACTTAACTTTTCTGAGCCTCCATTTCCTCATCTGTAAAATGAGGATAAGAAAAGAATTAATTGTCTTCATTCATGTACAAAGCACTTAGGATAGGACCCAGCACGGAGTAAGGACTCTGTAAATGTTACCTAATTATTTTTATTACCTACTTCCATAACAGAATTCATTAATGTAATAAGTATTTATTAAGCCTCAACTATGTATATAACAGTGTCCTTGGCATAGAGATAAAAGATAATAAAAAAATAAAAGAATGAAGATGTGATTCCTACCATCCAGCACTTCCCAGGTCACAAATAGATTGGTTCAGCAAATACCCTTGAGCAACCAGCAAGCATCAGGCAAGGAAACACAAATATGAATATGACAGAGTTCTTGCCTCCAAGGACCTTGGGTCCGGCTGAGAAGTCAGACCTGCCAGAGGCGTCTTCTGGAAGCGATGAGCGCTGTAGTTGGGGGGGGGGGCGGATTGTTGGAGCTGACATCGGTCTCTACCACCAACCAGCTGTGGAACTCTGGACACCTGTCTTAGTCTCTCTAAAGACCATTTTTTTGGGAGAAAACTGAAGATAGTAATACTATCTGCCTTCTTTGAATTAATAAATATATTGAGTGTCTATTATGTGCCAGGCACTAATCTAGATGGTGAGGATGCGGTCGTAAAGAAGACACGACAAAGTCGCTGTCCTCCTGGAGCACACATTCCAGGGGGAGAGACGGAATACACAATTAATTAGTTAAGGTATGTAGTGCCTTAGTGATAAGAGCCATACAGGAAAGTAAAGCAGGGAAGGGGATGGGGAGGCCTGGGGGCGGGGCTGAGGTGTGGAAGGAGAAAGAAAACTTACAATGGGGTGGCAGGGACGGCCTCTCAGGAAAGCTGGGGGGTGAGAAAGCGATCCCCAGGCTTCTCCGTGGGGGGCCAGGGGTTGCGGGGATGAGGGAGCCTTCCAGGCCGGCCCGCAGCCTGGGGTGAGGACTGAAAGCGATCAGGCTCACTCCGTGCCTGGCACACGGCAAGTACTCGGAAGACCCCAGCTGCTATTTTGAGCCATTACTCAGTGCTAAGGCCAGGGTACGAAAGGGGGTGGGAGCAGAAAAGAGAGAATGACTGAGTCAGCCCGGAGGAG